TTTCTCTAATTACTAGAGATGTTGAACATTTTTTTTTATATATTTGTTCCTTAGTCCATTTATTGACTGGGTTGTTTTTTGGTTTATTTTTGGTGTTAAGTTCTTTGAGTTCTTTATATATCCTGGAGATTAATGCTCTATCTGATGTGTGTGTGGCAAAAATTTGCTCCCAAAATGTAAGCTCTCTTTTCACTTCATTGATTGTTTCTTTTGCTGAGAAGAAGCTTTTTAGTTTGAATCCAACCCATYAATTGAATCTTGATTTTATTTTTTGCACTTTAGAAGTCTTGTTAAAGAAGTTGGCGTCTACTCAGACATGGTTAAGATTTGGGCCTACTTTTTCCTCTATTAGGCAGAGGATCTCTGGAATAATTCCTAGGTCCTTGATCCACATTGAGCTGAGTTTTGTACATGGTGAGAGATAGGGGTTTAGTTTCATTTTGCTTTATATGGATTTCGAGTTTTTCCAGCACCATTTATTGTTACTGTAGTATAGTTTAAGTTCTGGTATTTTGATGCCCCCTATTTCACTCTTCTTGCTAAGGATTTCTTTGGATATTCTAGGTCTCTTATTTTTCCAAATGAATCTCATGATTGCTTTTTCTATTTCTATAAGAAATGATGTTGGGATTTTCATTGGAATAGCATTGAATCTGAGCTTTGAGTAGTATGCCCATTTTCACAATATTAATTCTGCCTAYTCAAGAGCATGTGAGATCTTTCCATTTTTTAAGCTCTTGTTCTATTTCTTTTTTTAGTGTTCTGTAGTTTTCATCGTAGAGATCTTTTGCCTCTTTTGTTAAATTGATTCCCAAGTATTCTTTTAAGGCTATTATGATGGGGTACATTTTTCTAATTTCTTTTTCAGAGGATTCATCACTGATGCATAGGAATGCATTTGATTTATGGGTATTTATTTTATATCCTGCTACTCTGCTGAATTCATTTATTGATTCTAGAAGTTTTCTGGTGGAGTTTTTTGGATCCTGTAAGTATAGAATCATATCATCAGCAAATAATGATACTTTGACTTCATCTTTTCCTGTCCATATCCCTTTAATTTCTTTTGTCTGACTAATTGCTCTGGCTAGAGTTTCAAGGACTGTTGAATATAACTGGTGAAAGAGGGCATCCCTGTCTTATTCCAGTTTTTAAAAATGCTCTCAATTTTTCTCCAGTTAGAATGATGTTGGCCTTGGGTTTAGCATAGATAGATTAAATAATATGCTTTTGAATGATTCATGGGTAATAGAAGACATCAAGGAGGAGATAAAAAAATTCTTAGAGGTAAATGGAAACTCTGATATAGCTCATCAAAATCTCTGCGACACTATGAAGGCAGTGCTAAGAGGAAGGTTCATTGCATTAAGCTCATTCATTAAAAGAATAAAAAGTCAACAMATAAATAGCTTGACACTACATCTCAAAGCCCTATAAAAAGAAGAACAAACGTAGTAGAAGACAGGAAATAATTAAAATCTGGGTGGAAATCAATGAAAACAAAAGAAACAATTCAAAAAATTGACAAAAGAAAAAGCTGTTTCTTTGAAAAGATAAATAAAATTGACAAATCCTTAGCCACCCTTAGGAAAAGGAGGAGAAAGAACTCAAATTACTAAAATTCATGATGAAAAAGGAAATATCATGACAGACACTATTGAAATACAGAAGACAATTTGAAGCTATTTTGAAAATTTATACTCCAGTAAAATAGAAAACCTCAAAGACACTGACAAATTTCTAGAGGCATATGATCCACCCAAACTGAGTCAGGAGGACATAAAAATTTTAAACAAATCAATTTCAAGCAAGGAAATAGAAGATGCCATCAAAAGCCTACCAACCAAGAAAAGCTCGGGACCAGATGGATTCACAGCTGAGTTCTACAAGACTGACAAAGAAGAATTAATACCAATACACCTCAAATTATTCCATGAAATAGAAAAGGAGGGATCCTTTCTAAACTCATTCTATCAGGGGCTGGTATCATCCTGATACCAAAATCAGGCAGAGACACAACAAGGAAAGAAAATTTCAGACCAATATCCATGATGAACATAGACGCAAAAATTCTCAATAACATTCTGGAAAATTGCATATAAAATAATATTTACAAAAATAGYGCACCATGATCAAGTGGGGCTCATTCCAGGGATGCAAGGTCAGCTCAACATATGGAAATCAATAAACATAATACATTAATAGACTTAAAAATAAGAAAACTGGTTTGGCAGTTCCTTTAAAAAGTTAAAGATCAACTTACTATGTGACCCAGTAATTTTTATGCCAAGAGAAATAAAGACATACGATTACACCAACACATCTGTGTAAATATTCACAGCAACTTTCTCCAGAACAGTTCAAAACRTAGAAACACTCAACATAGTCATCAACTAGAGAATGAGAAAACAAATGTGGCGTACCCGTATAATTGATACTGTTCAGCACATAAAGGGAACAAAATATTAATACAGGCTACAATATAGGTGAATCCCCAAAACACTTTGTGCTAAATTAAAAAGCCAGGTATAAAAGACTACATATTATATGAGTCCATTCATCTTATGTCCAGAAAAAACAAATCTTTAGAGTCAGTTAGGGGTTGGCTAGAGCTGGGGGTTGAGTATAAGGGAGGAGTAGCTGGGGGGTATAAGAGATCTTTTAGAGGATGAAGCAATTGTCCCCTAAAAAGATTATGAGGGTGGTTACACAGTCCACATTTTACCAAAAATAATAGATTGTACACTTAAAACAGGTGTTATGGCATGTAAATGATACTTTGTAAAAAAAGATGTTTAAAAGTAAAAGAAAGGAAAATTATGTCATGTGTAACTAAGAAGAACTAATTAAACAAAATAAAAGAAAGGTAATACTGTGATCCTTTTGGCCTTGTCTTTCACAATTTCATTAGGGTTCATATTTATTGATTCCTCTCAGAGTCTAAATGCTCTTTGGTTGGAGGCAATTCCCAGAGAGATTCTAGATGAAAGCAACCAGCCTCAAACACTCCCAAGAGCTGAAGGAGATAGGAGATCTCTAAAGAACACTTCAGTGTCCACTACAACATACAAAGGCATAAAATGCAACTGGGTGGCTCAGAGCAGGGACTCTCTGAGCCTCAGCAAGAACAGAGGCCTTTAGCTAGTGCTGAAAACTTCAGAAAACAAATTGCTACACAGTGAATAGAGTCAACTCTCCTAGGAAAGTGTATTTGAAGCATTGACAGTGAGGTCCCAAGTGAGAAGAGGAGAACATTTGTGATACAGAGGAAGGGGGAGTTTAAGTGAAGGGTCAAGTCCATTCACTTATGGACCATTACTCCCAATAATTGCAGAAAACATTCATTGAAAGTACATATATCTTGTTCACAATATAAAACATGTATATAGAAAGGCCGTAGGCAAGTCTCARTAAATATTGCAGAATCATACAAAGAATACACTCTGGCTACAAAGTTATTAAATTAAAAATCAATGATAATAAGCTATATAGAAAAAAATCCTCACTTTTAGCAACTGGGTGACATATTTCTGAATGACACTTGGATAAAGAAAAAAAATATGAAGGAAATTGGAAGATATCTGTATCTAAATGATGATTAAAACAAATCCCAATACTTCAAAATTTTGGATGCAGTTAACACAGGGTGGGTTTAATTAAATTGTTACAGAGAGAAATGAAATGTTTACAGTTGAAGAGACAAAATGGATAAAATCAATTAATATCATTTATCTTTACCATATGACTTTGAAAAAGAATAATAAATTAAGCCCAAATTGAATAAATAAAAGCAAATAATAAAAATTAAAGGAATCAATAAAATGTAACAATGGACAAAAAAATAGAAAAAAAATCAAGTCAATTCTGCCYTCTCTGCACAAAACTTAATTTCAGATGGATTGTCTATTTAAATATCTGTCCAGGAACACTGACATCTTAGAAGAAGAAAAAAGCAAACTGTGGAAATAAAACGAATTCTAAGGGGATTAAATTCTAAAAGTAGATGCCTTTAGGGTATCTACAGGAGTAKCCTGGAGGAAGGAGTCACTTTTGGAAAGAGTCAGGAAAGAACTTTCTGGGGTAATAGAAATGTTTCATATATTTTTKGGGGGTGGTACTTACATGGGTACTTACAAGTGTCTAAGGTTAACCAAAAAAATCCTAAAATCTGGGCATTTTAATGTCTATGAGTTATAACTAAATGTTTAAAAATGGAGGAAACACAGTATCTAGAGTACCTTCTGGCAGTGATGTTTGGGCACCTCTGGGGCATAGGCTTTAAAAGCATCCATAGCATGTTCAGTTCAGGAATTTTCTGCAAGTGGTTTTATAATCAAAATGTGGATTGAGTGCAGATATCCACGTTGAGATCCACAGTGTCAAACAACTACAAAACCCCACTCTTGAGATGTGAGCCATAAATTTTAAACAGCTGCATGGCTTCCTTTTAAAGATGCTCTCCCCCTAGGAAATCACAGCTCTTTTGGGAGAAGGAAATTGAAGTTTTGAAAATATATTTGGTGGGAAAGGAAGTCACCTCACCTATGACTTGCTGATTGAAGCTAGCACCATTTCTAAAGTTTGCAAGACAGCAGCAACATCTCAAACTATGTGAGAGAGGAGACTACGGRCTAATGTGGATTTTTCCTTCCAGATGTATTTATTGAACAAGACCAAATCATACATTTTACTTTGAAATTTCTCCTTTTCTAATTTAAGTTCATAGATTGGGAATAACAGACAGCTTATATGAACAAGTATCTGACTAAGACTAAAATACAGACTCTTCATCACACTGTGGCCTTGAAGCTATTTTCTTTTCCTGATCTTGGAAGGAATAAGGATTGTAACACCAAGGCCGTGCCTTGTGGGAGGAGGCATCAGAGAGGAGAGCAAGCAATGAAAGTGAAGCAGAGTTCAGGTGATTGGCTGATCTTGGAAAGCACAACATAAAAGGCTCCAGTCCTGCCCCTGGAGAAGGAGGAGACCAGGACCAAGGCTCTTTCATCTGTCTTTTAACAATCTAATACGTTAGAACTGTTCATGTTCTTTCTGCTTCTCCTAGTGGTAGTGGTGGGGATTGGCGGGGGCGGGGGGGCGATATGGGAGCTTTCAACAATAGAGTGGAGTAAATATATTGTGCTTCTGTACCCCTGTACTCATTGGACTTCTCTTTTTAGCCTCTTCAGGGTCACCCTGTTGTACACCTGTCCCCTACTGTGTACTGCTTCCTGCATTGGCCATGACTGGGTGGAGCTGCCTGGTGACAGGAGCCGGAGGATTTCTGGGCCAGAGGATCATCAGCTTGTTGGTGCAGGAGAAGGAGCTGCAGGAGGTCACGGCCCTGGACAAGGCTTTCAGACCAGAAATCAAGGAGAAATTGTCTAGTAAGTGTGCTTGAATGTGTGGCTCCGTTATGAATCCTGAGTATACGTGTGTGTGCGGGGCAGGGGGGAGTGTGTGTTGAAGGTCTCTTGTCCAGCAAATGAAGGAAWTATGGAGCCATAAGTCTCCACCTATGTCTGCACATCCAGAGTAGTCCCAGGTGGTATTGCATAAGGACRCTGCATAGCACACTGCAGACAGGATTCTGACAAGAACCAGAACTAGATAAATGTCCATAAGCAGCCAGTGGGCCTCTAGGACATATAGTTCTCTCTGCCTACAGTTCTTTAACGTGCTGAAGGTTTGGGACTTCAAAATTGGTGTGTAGCATCTGAAAAGGGCCATTCTGAGGGAGACCTTAAAATAGGATACTGCCCCCTTGATTAACTGGGGTTTTCGTGTTTTGCTTTCATTTGTTCTGCTTTTTAAGAGAATGCCTTAGTATCTTCTGGGAGGTGAATGAAAAGGAAGGGAAGGTAAAGCTGACTAAGTATGCATATGTGTGCATTAAAGACAGACAGATAACAGAGAACGATAACAGAGACAGAGAACCCAGTAGTGAGTAGTAGTAGCCAGATTAAACATGACAGGCAAGACAAAACCAGACCTGCCTCACCTGAATTCCTCTTACTCACCACTCCTCTCTGCTCTTCATTCTCTCCAAAAGGTGACTGCATATTTGATATAGCAACATATTATTCTTTGCCAAAAGTGCTACCCCAGTGCATTTCCAACCTGCTTAAACCCAGATCCTCAAAACAATCCTGTGGGGAAGGTAGGAAAGAGGATTCACCCTTTCAGATAGTGAGGATATTGAAGTCCTAATAGGATGGGAGATTGATCCGAGGTTACTTCATTATTAAAAAGCAGAACTTTGTCTAAAGTCCTATTCCTGAACTTTGACTAAAGTCCATCACCTGGCCCTGGACTGACTCCTGGCACAGTGAGTCCCGAGTCTTTCATTGCCCCCTGTGTATTCCAAAGAGTTGCCTTCCTCCACATACAATTTGGAGGCACTGGGTGTCTACCCAGAGGCACAGGTTCTCAAATGAACCAGTCTTGCACACAGAGGATCCAGGACAAAACTCTGAAACCACAATGATCACTGTACTATTTTCTGCTCCTCTGACTGCTTCCAAAGTTCCATCTTTCTCTCCTATCTGCTTCAGTGTGTTCTCAAACAAATACTGACACGTGACCAATACTTTCTAGAAGCCTGATGCTTCAGCAATAATTGCAATCTAATGTATCACAGCAGCAGAGGGCAATGTTCAGCCTAGAGGAATAGCTTCCTCGTGGTAACAGGTCAGGGGTACCAGTGGAGAATCCTTACAGTTTTTTTTTCTTCTGTCAGGTACAGTGTTGGCAGTATTAACTAATCATCTCTTTATGAGATCACCAGAAGATAGRTAATGGTGTTATCCTTATTTTACAGATGAGGAAAGAAAGGCTAATTAACTTGCCCAAGGCCCCACAGCTAGAATAAGGCATTGAGGGATTTGATCTCAGGAGGTCTGGTTGCAACATCTGAGCTCTTATAGATGGATTAGTCCAATCATTTCCCTCTGGGCCTCCCTCCAATCTGATTCAACCAGAAAAGCAAATACTTATTCCATATAAATAAAACACCGGCCAAGTCCTCAGCATCTTGGACAAGGCAGGAGCTATGGCGCCACCTTAAAGCACCCAAAATGTCCTTTCCTGGACCTTAGGGTGCCTCAGTGCTGGCAGATAAAGGTCGGTTCTCCTCAGAGCTCTGGGCGTCACCACCTTATCCCATCACTTTCTCTGAGACAGTTCCTCTGAAGGCAGCAGCAAAGGAGATTCAGAGGAAGGAGCAATGCCACTCTCAGGACAAACCCACCTCCTTGCCATTCCCTGTCCTGACCTCCTTCACTGTAGGGCCTTCCTGGAAGACATAAAAGTCTGCAGAGGATTAAAAAGAATAAGCAGTTCTTGCAACCAGAACTCCTATCTGATGGGATAACTAAGAAATAAAAATGTAAGCAAACTGCAAATTTATGTGTAAGAAATCAAGTGAAGGGTATTGAAGCAGATCACCAGCAGCAAAGTTTTGACAGCCTGACTGGCAGTATCCTTCCTGAGGATCTCAGAGAAGCCTGAAGACATTGATGTTGTATCCATTGCTCTTAGCAGTGGTGGCTGCAGTGGAAGTGCCTTGGAGACTGATACATTTTCAGGACTGATCTTTGCTTTTAATAATATCTCATATTCAATTCGAGATGTTCCATTAAATCTGTCATTGAAGCCCATCCTAACTTCCCTATTAATGGCTCCAGAATCCTAGTCACACAAGCATGAAACACTAGGGCTGATGTGATCTCTTCTTTTCTGCTTAGCCCAGACCCAGTAACAAACAGGACCTGTCAGGAGGAGGCCTGATATTCACACCTTGCGGRTCTCTCTCCTCTGCTCCCACTGTTGGGACTCCTCATCAGGTCTGGAGCAGAGACACACCTGTTAACCTGTTGCTTACCTTGCTTGCTCTCTCTCTTAAACCCCAGAGCTGTGCCTTTGACATGCTAAGGTCAAGGTTAGCTTTGTATGATGCCCTCTGCTTCTGCTTCACCTTCAATCATTAGCTCTATGCTCCGATTTTGATTTCTGAATTGGAATAGAATTAAATAGTTCTTTTTTCTTTCTGAGTAAATCTGCCATCCATTTTGATTTCTGTGCATTTTCTTCCTTGCTTTTTCCTTGGAAGGTGTCTCCCGCCAACACTCCCCCTGTCATCTATGATACTACTGGAAGACATAGGTAACTGCTTTATCAAGGAACTTCCAAGCTCATTCAGAAAGCTTTCTCATCATCTACTTTGTGTTCCTACAGAGTTGCAGACAAAGACCAAGGTGACATTGGTGGAAGGAGACATTCTGGATGCCCAGTGCCTGAGGAGAGCCTGCCAGGGCATCTTGGTTGTCATCCACACAGCTGCTCTTGTTGATATCTGGAATATCCATTCCAGACAGACTATCATAGACGTCAATCTGAAAGGTAGAGTGACCTGGGATGGTATGTGGCAGGTGAAAGATGAGGGTGGCAGTAAAGAATGAGGCTCCATCCACCTTGAACCTTGTCCTCCTGCTCCTTCATTTCAAAGTCACCTTGAATCTCATTTCAAGCTCTTGAGGTCCATTCACCTCCTGCCTCCCTGGGCCAGAAGAGACCTTTCAGGTGCCTCCTCTTTCATGCTATTAGCTTTTATGCGAGGGACAATGAGAAAAATTCCCACCTCAGGGAAGAATTCCTCTCCAGAGAACTAGCATAGCTGGCCCACAGAGGACAGAATGGTCAAGCATTTGCCATCCTATGATATTTCATTACCAATAATTGGATCCCATTCCCATAATCCTAACTCTCCTGCTCCCACTGGGTCTATACTTAATGTTGTAGTTCCCACACAAGTGCCCGAAGTAACTCCTCCTCAGACCCTCACCACTAAATGCTAGGTGGTTCTTCCTGAATTGCACTTCCAATCTACTCCAAATTGAGATAGATTAGTCCAAGGAAGTCATATAATATCTGARCTCTGGAGGACAGTCTTCTCTGCACTAGTATCCTCAAGCCTCTGGCCCATCTGTCCTCCATCCCTTGACCTCAAATTCACTCAATGACTTCTTTTTCAAAGCAACCCAGTGGTGCTTTTCTGATCTCCAGCACTATCTAAAATGAAGCCTTTCCCAGTTTCTACATTGCAGGATGGTACTGTGAGTAACTAGATATTCATTTTCGGTCYCTATCTCTAAGGCCTTTGCTTACTCTCACAACAGAATACAAAGTGAAAGCAGCAGGATTGTATGCATCAGTTTACCAAAATATGGTCACAGCTTTAGAAAATACATCATAATTATGGACTTTTCCCTCCACTAGTAAACCAGGTTAAAATTTTCTAGATACTACACTAACAATTTTCAAATAAATGAGGTTGCCTTTCCAGAAAATCAAATTTTTGTAAAAGTTTTAAACAGGAAAACATAAAAATAAATAAATGCACATATAGGTAAACCAATGAAAATGATCCTTTGCTCAGGACATCACTTCCTTCTTCAAGAGAAGGCATCCTTCCTCTCCTCCAGGACTTGCAGGTCTACACTGCTACAGGGATTCCAGACAACTCTAACATTATTGAGTTAGAAAGCTCATGCTTCTCTTCAGTTCCAACCAGGCTCAATAGTAAAGTCCAGTGTGGGACTGAAGAAAGCTAAGTCAAGGGAATGATTACTACCCCTACTGCTCATAACTAGGCAAACAGAGTCACAGCAAGAGCTGGGAGTGGCCTTTGAGGGAACACACAGTTGGGAACAGAGGCTGGGTCTCCATCACCTCCCCACAACTTGATAACCATTTACTTAGGGACTCAAACGATGTTCTTGTGACAAAGTTTTCATTGACTTTCAACAAAYGGGAAACATGGCAGCACTCTAATTTCCATCTAACAGTGCATGTCTTCTATAAACAACTGTGTACGAATTAATGTAATGTGAAATTCCAACTGTCCTTGAGAGTATGGATTCCTGAATTTTTAGATTTCAGAAGATTTATTTTTAATGAAATGATACACATGAAAGTAATTCTTTCATGTCCAACAATAGAGTAGAAACCTATGTCTTTTTCCAAAATCAAAGGACACACACATACACACACACACACACACTCACACATACACAATCTATGAAACCCCAAAGCCTAGAAATCCTTTGTTATTAGAACCCAAATGTTAGCCTCCTATCCTTTTTTATATTCTTTTTATTTTTCCCTTTTGTGTGTGTGAGGTGTCATGGATTGAAYCCAGGGCGTTGTACATGTGAGGCAAGCACTCTACCAACTGAGCTATGTCCCCAGCCTCCCTTTTTGTATTCTTCCTATGGMTATAGCATGGCATTAGTCAGCACAGAAAGAATTGCACTTAGATCTGTAGCAAACCCTCTTTACTAGGAGAAGAATGAGAGATACATATAAATCTATGGTCATAATGTTTTAGGGTTATTTCCTGATACTGACAACTTATTCTCCATATGCAGGAACCCAGCTCCTGTTGGATGCCTGCATCCAAGCTAGTGTGCCATTCTTCATCTACACCAGCTCAGTAGAAGTAGCAGGACCCAACTCCTACAAGGAGATMGTCCAGAATGGCCACGAGGAAGAGCATCATGAAACTATATGGACGGCTTCATACCCCTACAGCAAGAAGCTGGCTGAGAAGGCTGTGCTGGCAGCTAATGGGAGCACTCTGAAAAATGGGGACACYTTGTGGACTTGTTCCTTAAGGCCCATGTACATCTATGGGGAAGGAAGCCCTGTACTTTCTGGAATTGTGAATAGGGCCCTCAGGAACAATGGAGTCCTAGAAAATACAGGAAAGTTCTCTGTAGCTAACCCGGTCTATGTGGGCAACGCGGCCTGGGCACACATTCTGGCCTGCAGGGCTCTGAGGGACCCCAAGAAGGCCGCGAGCATCCGAGGACAGTTCTACTACATCTCAGATGACACACCCCACCAAAGCTATGATAAATTGAATTCCACCATGAGCAAAGCAGGTGGCRTCTGTCTTGATTCCAGGCAGGGCCCTCCTCTCTTTCTGATGTACTGGCTTGCCTTCCTGCTAGAGATAGTGAGCTTCTTGCTGAGTCCCATTCACCAGTATCGACCCCCGTTTACTCGCCACCTGCTGACATTGTCAAATAGTGTATTCACCTTCTCCTACAAGAAAGCTCAACAAGATCTGGGGTATAGGCCCTTATATAGCTGGGAAGAAGCAAAACAGAAAACCATGGGGTGGGTCACTTCCCTGATAGAGGAGCACAGGGAAACYATGAAGACCAAGTCTAAGTGACGTGGCAATGACAGGGATACAGACATGGGCGCTGTCAGGAGCTGTCTGTCAGGTGCTTACTCCTGGTTTCTTCCAGAAGCTGAGAAGCCCAAGTCCAATAGCCTCCCTTTCACACAATGGCCAAGTTAGTCTCTTCCTCAGAAAACTTCCCAGTTACTGGTCCAACCAAAAGCTTTCTGCCTTAATTTCTGAGGAAATTAAGCTGCTTTGCTTAACCTGCTGTTATCAGTTTCTGTTGCCAGTTTGGGACTGTTTGGGACATCTTATAACTTAGAGTTTTGTCTCTTGGTTCCATTATCTTGCTCCTAGGCTAAAGTCTTCCTTTTCTTTGGAAAACTCCTGTTCTTTCACAAACTCAATGAAAAGACCAATAAATGTTTAAAAACTAATCTGCAAGAGGTGTCTCTCTGTTGATACACACTTTTTTTTTTAAATTTTTCCTAGTATTTGCAGTTATGGCCTCTTCTTGTTTAGAAAAGGAGAATAAACTGTTGGCAGATTGGTTTGGGGCCTGGAGGGGGACTTGAGATTAATTTAACCTACAATGTTTCAGGCATGTACTAGATGGCTGACATTTCAGCCTCAGCAGATTCACTAGAAGGCAGGGATCCCAGTTCCTGTGTCACAATTGAGGCAACTTTGCTCACCGTCACACTGGTTCATGGCTAAGCCCGTTCATCAGGGAGACTCCCYTGAAAGCTCTCATCTTGCCACCACCGAATCCTGCAATTGGCAATTTGTCTGGGACAGCAGAGCTATGGAGCACAGGCTTACTTCCCTCTGGTAGAGTCGTGGGTCTCTTGAGTTACCTCCTTCCTTCCCAGCCCAGTGCAAGAGGATTTCTAGAACCAAGAGAATCCTTGAGGGCACCTGGGAGGCCTTGATGCCTTCACAAATGGCCCTGAGCAAAAAAGATGAGACATAGAGGCTTCTAGCCTCCACCTCCAATGTCAGAGTCCCCGAACTTTCTAGAACACACCTGAACATGTGTGTGTTGGCCCTTCTGGATCTTCATATCCCCTTTTCAAACTTTCAACCCCCATAATAAAGAAAAACCATGAATTCCTGGGAAATTAAAGGGAGTAGGTCCAAATCCTCTCTMAAAATTTACCTCTATGTAGCTTATACGCCCCGCAAAGTGGAATCACACTCTCTCCCAGTTCCAGATTTAACTGCATTTCCCTCCATCTTCTTCCTTCTCCCCTCTGCCTCCTGTCCCATCATATATTACTTTATCCCTGTATATTCTTAGCCTCTTTCTGTTCCCTCCATCTCTCCCTCTTGCCCTTCTCAATTTCCCTAAGGACAGGGGCCCAACTGAGACAAGTCCAGGGACTTAAATTACATAGGCATGAACCAGAGAACCAAAAGTCCAAAGGAGTCTTGGCAGGTCACAAAGGAAACAACTGTCCCTGGTTACATCCTAGGCAAATGGGGAGGGAGCCTTCTCTCCTGATGGGCAGATCAAAAAGTCTTTGTGGAATTCCATTGCCTGCAGCTCTGGTCTCCTTCCTACCACCAATGAGAAAATTGAGGCCTGTGAGATGAAGTGACTTGCCTAAATTCACCCAAATTATCAGTAGTAAAGCGGGGCTGTAACCACCATCTCACCACTCTGCTGCCCAAGAACAGGCTGACACGCCTACACTTAGGAAGGGAAGAGTGTGAAGCAGTGTCCGCAGGGCTTGAGAAACAGAGACTTTTGAGGAGAAGCTCAATGCCACCAAGAGCGGCTGGATTGTATTACAGCATCTGCCACATCTCCTCCTGTCACCTTTGCGTGCTCCAGCCATACTAAGCTACCATCACTGGTCATGTCAGCAAGATATCCTGTACCTGCCCACCTTACCTGCTCAGTCCGGGAGCCAGAGCTATCCTATCTCCTCACATCTAACATCCAGCCACACACGGTACACCTATGGAACAGACATAGAGCAATGGTGGCCAGCCTGGGGCCGGGGCTGCTGCCTCTGCTGCTGCTTCTACCCAGATTTATTCAAATGCAAATTTATTCAAACCAAACAGCTATTGTGACATTTTCAAGTAACTACTCACAAAGTACCTCTGCCACTCCCAATTCAGTTAATGCAATACCTTGTGATCTCTCTCTCTCTCTCTCTCTCACACACACACACACACACACACACACATCTCTTCTGTTGGAGATGCAGGCCAAGAAACATCTCTACTTTCCCATTTTCTAAACCCAATCTGAATGGCAACTGTAATTCCAGTTTGTCAAGGAAGAAGCAGGTCTGCATGAAATCTACCAATTCCACACCTGATTTTATTGGCACAGGAAATGTTGATAATTCCAGATTTGATTGATTTGAAGGACATATGAAGGATTTCACAGGTGATTAATGCCAATATTAGATCGTCTAGAGTTTCACCTACAAGATAAAAAGATATAACATCCAAAATTGAATGATATAAAAGATATAACATCAAAATTTCCTTGAATGAGGCTTAAGAATATAGACACTTAAAACTCTACCTTGAAAACAAGAATAGATTATATCTAGAGATAAAGGATGGAATGAGGAATGGAGATTCAGTTTTCACTGGGTTCATGAAATCTATAAGGCCATAAAACAGGTAACCTAAAAAGCTTCCACAATTCTATTTATATGTACATTGGAAAGAACTTCCAGCTGTTACTGTAAATACTCAACGTATTATTTCAGCAGTACTAATTTAAGGCAGTTATATTCTAGATAAAGTTTTATATTATTAAGGTATCTCCGGTCCCTTAGGAACTAACTCTTTCCTCTGTGGTTTTGGATTTGTCATCATGTTTGAAGTTTTATGTAGTATTTGACATGTGCCAGGGAACTTATAGATTGGAATCCACCCCATATGCAGGCATCATGGGTAAATGGAGATTCACATAACCTAACCCTAAGTTTAATGGTTCACAGGAGCCCTGGGTGCAACTACCTTGCCATTCCTGGCCTCTGTCATTTTTCCTCAAATCTACCAAGATCCTTCTGACTTGCGATCTCATGTGCTCCTTCCCCAATACCTCACACTTGTGCCTCCCCTTTCTCCCCACCCATCCCAATATAGACAAGGTCAAGGTTTCCTCTCCATACAGCACTGGGCTAAGGTTGCAGCATCATTAAACAGTGTCTATCCAAGGCCAGTAATAGTCTGGGTCTGAAGTCATGAACATGATGCCCATAGCATCTGTAAACTTCAACCCAGGGAGCACCCAGAATTACCTCAGCAAACTACCCATGATGCTTCCATCACTTTCACTCAGACATATGCTCAGGGCACATCTAGCAAGATCTTTCCCAGCCTAGTCTCTGCTAGTATCTCCAAGAATACACACTGCCCAACAAGCCAGATAAAGTGTCCATTGCCTGATTTGCAGGACYTTCAACACAATGTTCTACAGTTACACAAGACCCCAGGAGAGATTCTGACTGACCTTGAGTCTGCTGGGTTAACAATCCCCCATGCATAGCAGATAAGATCTTGGTTCCAAAGACATCCTCCTGTCCTTACCACCTAACCCTCTATCACTCATCAAAAGTCACACTTTTAGTTGGCAGAGTAATTCACCACAAAGAAGTCAAAGTTGATTGTAATCAGCGAACAAAATCAGCCTTCACATTCACTCTTACAGTGTTAGAATGTGCCAGCTTCTCCATCTTCTCCTTCCCATCTTCCACCATCAAAACATCCTGCTTGCAAAGGGCAGCTGAGGTGTAAGGATTCTGTGACTGGGATAGAAGTCTCTGATAGATTTATGACTGGCATGCTTGTTGGCTAGGGAGTTTCTGTGCAAAGATACAGAATGCCTGGCTGCAAAATACAGGATGCCTGGCTGCTATAGCAGTGCCCTGCTTTAGGCTCTGTACTAGAGTCTTATCAGCCTCAACTTTGATCTCAAGCACACAGCTCCTGAAAGTAACAAAACTCTCTTGTTAGACAACCACAATGTTTCACCAAGCTCTGCTGCACCTGAGCCTGGCCACATAACAGTCACTTTAAACAATGAACTTTCTTGAGAGCTACACAATGCTCCTAACATTGCATATTGCAACTATAGTATGTAACTGAGGAATAAGCTGCATGATGTTGCTAACTCTATAACCTACCTAATGACAATGAATAATAATGTAATACTGATGCCAGTGACCTACTATAACCTATTGATATAAATTAAGCTGGTAGCTTGGCCATTCTGCCATTCTGCCATCTTTCCTGCTTATGCATCTTATTTCTGTGTCTCTTATTGTTTTCTTTACACTGAGTAGAAAGTGTGAGGGGAGAAAATCTGCTCTGGTTAGTGAACTAAGAAAGTCGGAGACATAACTGTGATTATTAAATGAAAATAAGATGCCTTTCATGCTTCCTCATGTCTGTGTCTTGATCATTTCTTCCTGATGAACTGCTGATACAATGCTTACATCATGGGCAGAGACTATCTAAGGAATGACTTGAACAAAATCCAGTCTAGCTGACAGGTTCCCTTCAGTATCATCAGAAACCAGTAAGTTATATTTCCAAGAATGGATGGAATACACTTTTTTTTGAGAGCTGAGGGAATACATTGGGATTTAAGAATTTTATAAATTAGAGGTTATTTCCTCCTCTAGACAACTACCTATCCCTGAACTTTGCCCCAACCCTGCAGGAAGCCATCTGTGAAATGCATGAGGACCTTTTCTAGGCATGCAGCTAGGGAGGGAATAGGTCTGGCACTGGGAACTTCCCATGACTCTCCCACAGAGACAGACCACCCAATGCACGTGATCTTCCCCTCCAATCAGCTAGAAAGCTCCCTCAAAGTAGCACCAGGGATGGGCGTAACCTGTTAGGAACTGAGCTGCCTACCAACCTCCACCATTATCCTATTTTGTTGAAGAACTTTCTATGGAAAGTCTTTGATATTTCCCGATATAAATAAATAAATAAAGTCTTCGATATTTCCCGATATAAATAAAGCAGACGTGGGCTTCTTTGTGTGTCAAAAGCTGGACCCGTCTGGTCAGTTTCCCTGTCCTGCCCCTCCTTTGAAACTACTTTCTGTGTTCTGTGGTTATTTTGCCATTTTATTTCTCTTTGCTTTTATTTCTCAGCCAGCCCATTCCACCAGAGGGGAACCCCATGTCCACCGCCTGTGTGAGACATGGGCCGTAAAACCCTTTCTGAATATCTTTGTCTTCATTCCTTATGGATGTGTGGGGTTTTACAGCTCATGTAAGCCCCGGCAGATTCTTGACTTGCCATGGAAAGAAATTACAGGACCTGACAAAGGATGCACAAGAAGAGACTTATTCAGGAAAGCAAGCAATAGAGCAAGATATGCACTCAAAGGGAGAGGGACTGCAGAACTTTAGAGGAG